TCCCCCTCCCTCCCCTCCCCTCCCCTCCCCTCCCCTCCCCTCCCCTCCCCTCCCCTCCCTTCCCTCCCTCCCTCCCTCCCTCCCTTTCCCTCCCCTCCCCTCCCTCCCTCCCTCCCCCTCTCTACCGTCATCGACTCACCATGGCTGCGCAACCTTGCCGGATGTCGACTTGGGCACGTAGAAGGGAACAATGGGAATGTCGGGGAACTTGCGCTCAAGGAAGACCAACCAAGATTGCACGACGTAAGGATGAATAAGATCACACTTGTTGATGCAGATCACAACATCCTTCTTCTCCACATGGCGGATGTAGTGGAGGTATCCCTCGCTCAGGTGGAACCTTTCCCGCATCCGACGTCAGGCAGCGTCGGAGGAGGCGCATGCTATTACAGTGGGATGCGCGCGTCCAGCAGCAGGATTGCTATGTCTGCCTTCTCAACGGATCGCCATATCTGCCTCCACACCTGCGCATGCTGTCAACACTGCTGCTACATCCTCCTAACCTGGCCTGCTGCTTCCCCTCAAGCCTGGACCTCTCAACCTCTCCTCCTCACTTCCTCCCTCCCTCAGTATCCTTCCTCCATCTCTCCCTTCACATGACAACCTCCAAGTTGTGCTCGAAGAAGTTGAGGTCTGCCCGAGAGTACTTCTCATAGATAGACTTCATCCACTCTACGAACGAACTCTCCTCTTGCTTGTCCAGCTGCAAGACTTGAGTCGATCCAGCACACAACCGGCAAGAGGAACCTGATCGTGACTCATGAACTTGTCCCAAGGAGGTCGCACAGGGATGCCAATGATCTCAAAGAACAGCCATGTCATCCTTCGGCGTTTCGAACCATCTGGGTCCTCACCGGGAAGTCTTGTCCTTCCACCGGGATCGGGTACGGCAGCGGGAGAGGATGGATGCGACCCCAAGCTTCTTCTGCTTCCTCCACCTTCGTCGGGGATCCTGAGGACAGGAGGGTGAGAACCCTGATCGCACGACCCCAGTCAGCATATCAACAAGACAATGGCTCACTGTCGATGCGCCTGGTGGAATCAATCTTCCTCTTCATAACTTCATCGTCCGGCTCCCGCTCGAACACCTGCGCAAGTGTCGCTGCCGGCACAAGAGGGAGCGAGTGACGTGTCAGTACTGTGGTGAGCTTGTTCATCCCGGGCACAGTCGGCATCGATCTCCTTCCCTGCTTCTCACATCAACAACGCAGAACTCTGGCGGGACAAGAACCTGGTTGGTCTGATTCCTCCGGATATTGTGGCTGAGATAATCGAATGAGTCTGAATTTTGTTGCTGTTTCGATGCTTTCTTATTCTTCATCTGCTCCTTCCTCGCTTTCCCGCTGAAGGGCTTCGACCGCGGCATCCTGACAGTATCGCCACGCCCTGCGAATGCAGGAACGCAAAGTGATAGCGCCAGGCAGAACAACGCCAGGGTCAGGATCCGCACTATCTTGAAGGACCTTGAGAACAGATAACAATCAGGGATTGAAAACAGTCAGTCAGCAAAGGGGCTAAACTATTCACAGCGATGATTTGCATTGGGATAATGGCGTTATGAATTGATGGGGGGCATGGCTGCTGCTGATATCGCTGCGAGCTAATCAGATCTTGTTTCACCTTCTCAACAGATTCATAGCCTCCTGACTGGTGTGCCCATACTCATCTTTGTACACCTTTATGAACACAGCATAGTTTTTGAACTCTGACTGTTCTTGCAACAACCTCTCCTGTCTCTCTCTCTCTCTCTCATCCCCCCCTTCCTTCCCTCACGTCTCTCTCTCCTTCTCCTCTCCTCATCTCCTTCCCGTCGCATTTCTCCCCGACAAAGTTTTTCTTCCCCGACTGCCTGGGCACAGCAGCCCACATCCCCACATTACCCATCATCCACCCCTGTACCCTTGCCTGTACCCTCTACCCCTTAAAATCCGAATTCTTCTGGAAAAGGACCGGGTACTGACAAGGCAGACAAGGGCACCCCACCCCTGTTTCCAAAGGGCTCGCACCTCTACTTGGTTCCCCTGCATGCGAGCATGGCAGATGGTTAACGTCGTTGCGCTGGCAGCGACATGCATGGCCTTGTCGCCTGTGTTCGTCTCCTCAAACCTGTTGGGGTCTGCACGTTCGACATGGGGGGATGGCTCTGTGCTCGAACGGCTCGACCATGCATCATGGGCAAGGAGTTCCTTTCACAGTTTGCGCTTGAGAGGGGGGTCGGCGGTAGTCGATGGTAAAGACAGCATATTATTTGCGAGAAATGAAGATGATGCCGCTGTTACAGGGAACATAGATCAAGGCGTCTTGCACGATCAAGCTATAGAAACTCCAACCAATAACCTGGAATACGAGGAAAGGGAATGCTTCTATGATACAGTGGACCTCGATGATATGGAATTCGACGAAGTGGAATCGGTGTGCGGCGATTTATCGCTCTCCTCGTCTGATGATCTCTGTGCAAGGTGTTTCTTTATCCCTGTCCCTGCGGAGATATGTTTCGCATAGAAGTCAGCGAGCTGCTACAAGGCAAGAGAGTCGCGCCTTGCCCGAGCTGTACATTGAGGTATGTTGTATGCTCGCTTGCTGGTTGACCGCGGTGCTCACCTTGTTCTCGTAGCTTGGAGGTGACGTGCTCATCTGAACAATTGGAGCGACTGAGAGAGGAGATGGGAGCAGAGGAGTGAAGTTCGGCTTCCAACGGGCGCATGTCATCATGTGTAAATAGTCATGCTTGTTGTAAATGAAGGTTGCGGTAGCTGTTGTCGATTGTTTCTCTTGAGCTTTGTGAGAAGCTCGAGGTCAGGAGATGACAACTGACATGTAGCTGCTGCATGGACGGAGGAAGGAAAGGACGGTAGATACATGGGGCCCGGCGGCCTGAACCTTGGAGGGACTGATATAATGATGCGGCAGTCACCTCTGCACTGCGTGCGGCCCAGCCAGGCGGCGGCCAGCGCGGCTCACTGAGTCATGACATCATCCACAGTCTGTCGCAGGTGAGCGAGAGGAGAAGAGCAGCAGCAGCAAGCGGTCACAATGATTCCATTCCGTGACTGGCTGACTGGTCCGAGTCGCGGGGTCGCGGCCCTGAGGGCCTGAGTCCGTCGCCGGAGTCAGATCGAGTCCGGCGAGCACGGCCCGAGTCTCTCGCGGCCAGAGACAGTGATCAGATCAGTGACCGTGGGCCCGGGTGGCCCGGGGGCCCAGTCCGATCACGGTCGGTCGCGGGGCGGGGCAGGCCGATCGGACCCCCCGTGATCGGACGGCCGGGCGGCGCCGATTACTAGGTCGATCCGAAGCTTCCGGGGAGTCCCCGAGTCCGGCGAACATTCGGCGGCGGTCACTAACGGTTAGTATCACCGTAGCGGCTCCGGGCCCCCGCAGTGACTCGAGTTGAATCACCGTAGCCCCGTCGATGTCATACTCACGCTGCAGTGCGCAGCCGGCCGGGGCGCACTGCGGCAGCCGGGCGGCCCATCACGGCGGCGCCCGGCCGGGCCCAGCGCCGGGCCCGCCCCGCCCACAGTGAGGGGATGGAGTGGGGATGAGGGTCAAAGTTGAGCTCGTCGGCTGCATGCGGCGGATTCTGAGAGGAAGGAAGGAGAAGGAGGGAGGGCAGAGATGGACGGGAGTACGAAATAAGGGAACGATGCGGGAAGTGAATACAAAGGAAGGGGCCAATGTGACATGATTTTGATTCGAGAACATCACAGAGTCGATAAACTGGCTCAGCACTGTAGTAGAGAAATTTGCCAGAGAGGACACACCCTACAGTGAAACCAGCATAACCAACACTACCAGTTTCCTCTTGATTATGGCTTCACCTATTTTTCTCCATTCTTATCCTTTCAAAGCACGCTTTACTGGTATGACCCTCTGAGGGCAACCTTCAAGTTTGCTTTTGCTGTGTTGTACTCAAGTTCGCGCTCAAGATGTGGATTGAAGCTTTTCATCGTTTGGGAGCGATGTGTTGACACATGTGCAGATGTCCAAGGTTGTTGAGAGCGTGACCAAGGCAGCGCAAAGGATGCGCAAGAAGATTTACTTTCCCAACAGAATCATGTACTTCATGCCCAACCAGCAATCGTCCGACGTGCTCGATATGGTCAAGCTCCGCGTCCCCCCTTCCATGCACAAGTTTGAGATCAAGGACTGGGTAGAGGCAGGATACGACACCCCTGTCAAGAAGGTTCACACAGCCAACTACGAGGGCAGGCTAATCAGGTACAAACACAAGAACGGTTTCTACAAGCGCCCGGACTACAAGGTGGCGTACGTCTACCTTGAGACCCCATGGACTGTCCCCAAGTAGATAGCAAGTATGGGAATGAGGGGAGGAGGATGGGAAAGGTCAAGCACGGTGGGTTAACAAGGATGGAACATTTCCATGAAGTTTGTTGAGAACATTATTTGAGTTTCTTTTGACAAGATCCGTCTTCCCCTCATCGCCTTGACCTCTGCAGCACCGACCATGTCTTATCATCCTTGCCCGTCAGGGCTACTGGATCCCAACTGCTTGCATGGATGTAACAACCTCCTGTACGCCGAGATCTCCTCCTACTCAAACCGTTAGCCTCCTCCTATCTCTCCCTACCAATCCGCTCTTACGCTTCTTCTTGACTTCCGCCGGGAATCGTGCAGGATGTGATCTAGGAGGAGGTCATGCTTATGCCATGATGAAGGTCTTGGTGGCTCACCTTCGACTGACGATGAAGTTTGATCCCTCAGCAAGCTAAGTAACAATCAGAATCCTCACCTCAAGCCATTCATCATCATCATCATCATCATCATCATCATCACCACCACCACCACCACCAACACCATCATCGTTGTCGTCGTCACAACCGCCATCATCGTCATCATCATCGTCACCATCATGATGTCTACCACAGCCATCATCGCATCACCTGAAGGTAAGCATGCATGCGAGGATCGTCCTTGTACTCTCTGGGCATGTCTCGGTGCATGTGCCTGCACTTGCTGCTTCACGTTTGCGACCTCCCGCCTCCCTCCTCACCTCCGAAGAAAGTCAAGCAGGTTGAATGTGAACATTGCGTTTCCGTCCGAGGCTATCCTGGCGTAGAACTACAACCCGCGTCAGGGGGGAAGAGAAAGGGAGGAGAAGGAGGAAGAGAAGGAGGAGGAGGAGGAGGAGGAGGAGGAGGAGGAGGAAGCGCCCACCTGGTTGTCGATGTCGCTGTTTTCATCCCTCACCCCAGCCTGCGAGTGCGATGAGACGGGAGGAGCAGCGAGAGAGGCAACGAGCTCCACCAGCGCGTTAAAGATCAAGTTAGAAAAGACTCCCGTGTAGCTGCAGGAGGAGAGGCAGGAGGAGGTCATAGTCAGACGCGTCTGTCACTGCATAGGAACTAAGCCCCTCCTTACGTGGGCTCGTCCATCTTGCAGCTCGCGTAGAGGGCGCGGCCGGTCATGGCCTGCCATGGGCGTGAGCGACGGAGCTCCTGCTAAAGGAGAGGAGCAGAAAGTCGAGCCCTTCCCTTCCCTCTATCACCTCGATCGCTTCGAAGAACTTGATGCGGAAGTAGGGGCTGCCGTAGGTCACATCCTGCCGGAGCCGTCAGATCCAGTGAGTCCTCCACTGCAGGCGCTACCCTGTCGAGCTCTCCGGTGGTGCATGTAGAGAGGAAGAGGACGACTTGGCGGGCAGGAAAGGAAGCGATGGTCTGGCGAGCGTGAGGGGCGGGAGAGACAGGACCCACCAGCTCACGTTGGACAAGTAGCCGCCAGCATCCTTGCCGTGACCTGCGAAACTAGAGGCAAGTCAGTGGAGATCCGTCCTCCTTCGTCCTCCTCCCTCCCTC